GATGGGAGCGAGTACGTGCCTTGGGAACAGAGCTTTTTTACCGAGCTCCTCGGGCTTTTCTCGTTGACGACTCTCTCTGTGTTCTTTAGTGAGGAAAATTTAAAAATCCACGACCGACTTTTCCTGTTATTCCTTTGCTGCATTTTTGCGCTATTTCCCATGGTCACACTTTTCGAAGGCTTTTGCAAAGTCGATAAAAACATCGCATTCTTTTTGTCTTCTAGTATTTAGGACCTTGCGTAGGATCCAAAGTTGAGACAACAGGAGCGACCTGTTCTAAACCCATTTTTCCCTGGGTTGTGTAACTGATGGTTTTTAGATGGGTGGGGATCTTGCTTCTTAGCCCCCTTTTCAAGATTTTTTGAATGGTTTAGTGCTATTGGCGTAGTTTTTTGTTTTTCTTTACTGCCCCCCTTTGGGGAGGGGCTTGCCCCTGTTGTTTTTATAATTTGGGGGACGACCCCCGGTCCAGCTCCCCTCCATGGAGGGAAAGCTCGTGATGGGGGCTTCTTGCATTTTCTTGATGAACACAGAGTTCCATGATCTGGCCCGGGGGCAAGGGAAAGGGCATTTTCATTTATCCCTTTCGAAAATCATTTTGGCGTCAGATACATCGGATGGGTTTTGTGTTAATCAAATTTTGTGGTCTCTCAAAAAAAATTCTTTTTTGATCTTCGACTCTCATCTGGTTAGGGGCTTGCTAAAAACGAGTCATATTGGGCTTGAAAGCTCACCTTTTCCCTTGCTGTAAACTGTGGGACCCACTTGTTAATGGGGGCTAAATACGGGCGTTGTTCTCTTTTTGATTTGGCATAGGAGAAGAAATATTTGGGGTTTCTTTCGATTTCATTTATGGCTTTAGTTTTTCCCGCGATTCCTGACTCCAAAAGGATTTTTTTAGTTAATTTCGTTTTCTTGCTATTTCTCTGACCATGCCCCCTACGCTTTTTCAGATATAGACCTCTTTAGCCCTCTGTTTTCTTTTCCCGTCGCCTGAAAAGGGAGCGCCTGTCTCTTTCTATTTTACTTCACTCCCCCTTTTTTTCTTAGAGGAATAAGCCTTGTCATACATCGAGTGCCACCAGTTAACTTTTCTAGGCAAAAGTGGGGTCTTTGTTGCTTAGAACTTCCCACTTATTCGGTTAGGACTTGGTTTACTTGGTCCATTTTATGTTTTTTTTTATTGAATTTTAAATTTTGGGTGAATGCTCCCTCTGACAAAAAACTCATTATGTCGGTCGGGGGCTCCGCGCATACATGACTAACCTAAATATTTTGATCAAGTATATTGTTTTTGATATGTGACATTTCTTACAGATCATCTTTTTAGTGAAGATAGGTCTAGTGTATTTCCCAGTCTAGTAGGCCTATTTTTTGCGGGTTTTAAATTTAATTTTGTGCAAGATTTAAAAGCTCGCGTGAGTTGAGTTTTTATCAGGGGTGCGTCCTGGTTATTTCTGCAACAATATTATTTTGCATATTTCCCCCATTTTTGGTGCCTTAAGTTGAAATCCCCCAGAGCAAGAGTTGGGGGCAGGAGCTGAAGATTTTCCAGACAGTGGTCAATTTTTAACAGCTGTTTCCCGGGAAATTTCGGGATGTTGCATCCGGGGGCTTGTAGACTACCACAACGCTAGGTTTTTTGGGTTCTCGACCTTTACGCTAAAACTTCCACACATCATTTGAGGCATTTAGCAGTTCTGTGCAAACAAGGACTCTGCAATGTACAGGCCAACCCCCCTTCCTTTTTTCCTGTTCATCTGTCACACTTTAAAATTGTAACCCCGGGATCCAATTTCGTTGTCCAAGTGCCTTATGCGGGTCCATGAAAGCCGCGAAAATTTTCCCCTTTTCCTCTGCAAACAGTCCAGGATGAAAAGGGTTTTTGTTGTTTTTTGCTGGCTTTAAACCCCTGTATATTTGCCAAGAAGAATTTTTTCGGGCTGGTGGTATTTTTGGTACTGGGGGGGGATTTTTTTTTCCGGGATTAGTATCTTATCGTTGGTTTGGGGTGGAGGCCATCGACTGTGGGTTTCCCCTCCAGGGAAAACTGGTTTGGTGACGATTTTTTGCCATTTCCGCAGTTTTTTTTCCTTCCTGGCAAAAAAAACCTCTCCCCCTTGGTGGGTGGCTACCCCGGTTTTCCCCCTGGGCCCGGATGTTTTGTTCTTTTTTTCCCCTTTAATTTTAAAGCCTGGAAAAAAAAGGGTTTTAAAACCCCAGGGCTTTTTCCCGTACGAAGAGGTACCAGGTTTAGGGGGAAAAGCTTACGGAAGGGAGTTTTTCATTTTCCTTTGTCCCTATTTGGGCCCTTGGCATTTTTTTAAAGGGGGGTCATAGTTTTCACGTCCCCCTGTTTTTTTTCCCCCTTTCCCATGCCACAGAACCAAATTTCATAGTATGTGCACAGGCTTGGGTTTCCGTTTGCCTTTGGTTTTCCCGTGACTGTTTTCCCTTTTTGCATTTTTTTCCCGCTTCGTTTTGAGAGGTTTTGCTGACTAAATTTAACAAAACGTCTGCAATGCCAAGGGTTGATCAAAAGTTTGGGTTGGGCCTTATTTGAGTAAATTTTTTCATATCACTGGTAATAAGTATAAGGGTTTTTGAAATTAAATTTCGGGCAGTATAAAGAAAACGCATTTAGATCAAAAAGAAGTTAGTATGTGATGATAAGATGTTCCCCAAACCCCCCTAATGTGGGCAGACCTGACCTCCTCCTGGGAACCGTTAAAACCCCTACCTCTGAAACTCAGTCAGACGATCAACCTGAATGGCGTTTTTTCCCAAAGTACACGACAGGTATTTAGAAATCCCAAATATCATTGTTACTTCCCCAAAACAGATTTTTCCTCAAAAACAACATGAGTTAGCCCGTGCAACCCAAGTTTGTTTCCCCCCAGAGATTACACCCATTCTGCATATTCAAACCACCCCCAGAGAGTTGGGTTTTAAAAGCAAAAAAACCCGGGAAGATGAATAATTAAAATTTTCAACTTATCAGTATTTTAAGAATTTTTTTTTTTTTTCACGTTTTCTTTCCCAATTTTGAGAATTTTAAAACTCTAGAATTTTAGTGCTTTCCCAAAACTGCCCCTTTTTGTTAAAAAACTTCCCTTTTTTTGTATATATTCCTTTCCTCAGAATCCGTAGATCACAAAGAAAACAGATCGATCGTCAAATTTTTTTTTTTTCCCTTCTTATTTTTGTAAATCCCAAAAGTTAATTTCATTTGATGATTGTTCTATAAATTAAAACCTTTTTAAAGCGTTACAGTTTTTATACAGTTTTTAGTTTTCGTAAACTTTCCCTTCCAATATTCTACTTATGTTGTTTTTAAAGTTTTAATTTTTGTTTTAATTTGACATTGTATAGAAAACAGCCCCAACCCAAAACCCCCTGCCATCTCTAAATTTGTATTGTTTTTTGTCGGGACGACATACGTTAGCGTCGCCGAGCTCTCAGTATAGTACCTTCCCAAATAACCAATTACCATAACCAATGACCAGTAATTAAAACCCCTACCAAAATGTCTGCATGAATCACTGGGCTGATTATTCATATTCTGCGGGCCATAGCAGGATTTCAAACACCCCCCCCTAGGCACTGTGGTTTATCGAAGATAGAGAGCAGAGAAAAGGCAGGGCGGCTGTTGGGGCTTTTTCCCCTACTTTCCGTTAAAATTTAAACGAACCCACCCGCCTACGTTATTTTTCTTAACCCCAACCCGTTTTCGAAAACCCACTTGACAAGGGGACACAGGGACAAGGGGTCACAACTGGAAGGTGAAGACTCAGACGAGTCACAGGGACGTTGGGAAGTATTTCTTCAGTCATAGAGTTGTCAGGAAGTGGAATAGCCTAGCAAGTGAAGCAGTGGAGGCAGGAACCATACATAGTTTTAAGAAGAGGTATGATACAGCTCAGGAAGCAGAGAGAGAGAGGACCTAGGTAATGCACTTATGGTGTACTTAGATGACGTAATCGTCATGTCTAAAGACGTGGATACACACTTGAAAAGACTTGATGTAGTACTTGGTAAGCTTGAAGAAGCCAATTTAAAGATCAAACTGTCTAAATGTCAATTTTTCAGATCAGAAATTAAGTTTCTTGGTCACGTAGTCACTCCTAGAGGGGTTACGACTGACCAAAGTAAAGTAACTGCAGTACTAAATTTTCCAACTCCCAAAACTGCTGATGCCGTAAGATCCTTTGTGGGCTTAGCAGGTTTTTATAGGTCTTTCATTGCCAATTGTTCTTCCATAGCTGCTCCTCTAACTGAGTTGCTTAAGAAAGATGCTCCTTTTGTTTGGACCTTCCATCAAGAAAGAGCATTCCAAACTCTAAAAGAAAAGCTAACATCTGCTCCAATTTTTAAATTTCCAGATTTTTCTAACCCCTTCTATCTGACAACTGATGCTAGTTCTATTGGCATAGGTGCCGTACTAGCTCAGAAGACTGATGGCAAGTACAACGCAGTTGCATTTGCTAGTCGAGTCCTTACGAAGGCTGAACGTAATTATACAGTACCTGAGCAAGAAGCTTTAGCAATAGTATGGTCTTTAAAGCACTTCCGAGACATTATTTATCAGTACTCTGTTCATGTCTTGGCAGACCATGCTCCACTGAAACCTTTATTCCAGAACAAACAACCTACTGGAAGGTTAGCCAGATGGACCTTGACTATCCAAGAGTTCAATCCCACCTTTGAACACTTACCTGGCAAGTCAAATGTAGTCGCAGATGCCTTATCGCGACATGTTAGTATAGTAACTGCAGACCCTCCATTTAGTGCTATATTTATGTTGTTTTAAACTCAGTTCAAGACTTTTACCAGTTTGATAGTAATTAACTTTATCGCAAATTTTACAAAGAATCTTAAAGACTCATCTGTCAGCATTTGGTGGAAAATCTTTATCAAAAGTTTTTTTTTACTGTATCAAGATTTTTAAATACAACTTTGATATTAAAAGTCTTAATAAAAGAAGGGAGAAAAAAAACTACTTTTTCTTTCTTTTAAATCATTTATTAAAATTAGACATCCATTTATCGCTGAAATATTTAGTCATCATCAAGATCCTGAAATTAAATAGAAAAAGTAAGAAATAATTTGTAGGTCAAATGTAAAAAAAATAAACTGCAGACTGAGAAACAAAGATACAAATAATAAAAAAACATAGAAGAAGAGTATGTAACAACTATAAGAGCAAAATAGGTAATAAATGGGAATTATCTCCAAGAAATGCTACGTTGGAATTATATCTCAGTAGGTCAGTATGAAGAGAAACTTCTAAAAGCAAAAACAAAAAAAATGTGTACAGACCTGAAGCCAATTTTCTTCAAAATATCATGTGAATAGACTAGACAAAGTTGTTCTTGAAGATTTCATTGAAACTATACCTGGTGTTATGTATATTTTATTATAAAATGTAAAAATGTGTGTGTGTGTGTGTGTGTGTGTGTGTGTGTGTGTGTGTGTGTGTGTGTGTGTGTGTGTGTGTGACGATGTGTGTGTTTCCGTGAGGGTGTTAGTGCATGTGTATGTTTGTG